TTGGGCACTTAAAAATCACTTACCACTGATCTGCATGCACCTGTTTTCCTGCAAGTTAGCAACTAATGCCCATCACAAATAATGGGGCACCCAAAAATGCAATAGCTAAGTATTCAAAGTGGCCATTTAAACTGTAGCCTTGTATACAGAGAACCAGCCTTTCTACCCAGTAAACTGATAGGAATGACCTCTAGGTAAATCTTAAATACATGTATTACAGTGAAACACTGTTGGACAGTGCTCCGTCATCAATCAGTCTGTGTTCTTGAGGACACTATTTTTCAAGATGCTTGCTTCAAGAATAAAGCCTTGTGTTGTAATGAATGTGTGCTAACTGATCCTTCAAGCCATTTGTATTTTTTTTTTATTTGGATCAGTGTCAGAGTTGAGCTTCTGTAAGAAATTTTTGCAGTATTCTATTTGTAGTCTTCATTATTTCAAGTAAAGGACACAAAACTCTTTATGCACCCACAGTCTGCGCTGGTTCGTTTACATCCTGTATTTTGTTAACATGTTACCAAGATTGCTAATTTTCATGACAATTGTTATTGTACCATCAGTGCTTAATGGCAAGGCATCATTATTCAACGCTGGTCAATCAGGCACTAAGACATGTGCAAGACATCAGGCTGAACCCATATAGATGTCGTGCACTCCCCTGCTAATGAATGCAGTTTTGTAAAAAGGTTTAAACACGGTTGGCATCCTTAATGTAAGGTTTGCAAAAGCTTATTCGGGAACTGCTTTGTGTTTATATGGAGCAGATCTAAACATGTCACAGAGTTAGACCCATTGTGTGCATGTGTGCGTGAAGCTATGGAGAGGAGCAAATCATTTTGGGTTTCGAAACGTGGAAAGGCAGCACAATTTTGGCCATGGTGGAAGTGGGGCGAACTGATTCGCCAGGGACATCAGTGTTTGGTACAGGATATGGGACTTCTGCAGAGCAGTGGTCCCTGTGTGCAACAAAGCGGTGACCCCCAAAAGCAGAGTGTCATTCTTCATCTTGCAAAGTTGGCACTATCTGGAGGGAGCGTCCAGCACACCAGTGGTCGGAGGTTAGGCACTGCAACCAGAAGCCAGGAGAGAGGGTCAGGCATTTAGAAGGGAGGAGCAGAAGGAAACTCATCAGGAGTGGGATGAGCTTTGTGTTGTTAGCCCAGCGTGCTCTTCCAGCGCATCAGTTAACGTTACCCTCACATCTGCTTTAGTTACTGTTTCTATGTGGTTTTGCACCCAAATGTTTTGGGCTGCTGTCCATGATAAACTAGATGGAACTTGGTTTAAAAGCACATATTTTCATCTCTTCTAACTCAAAGCAGAATGAGCCCTTGTGCTCCTAGAGTTTTGAGTATGAAAGGAACAGTAGACATTGGCTGTTAACAAGCTCCGGAGCGCCGGGCTGCAGCAGAACTTGGTGTGATTTCAGTGCCTACGCTGCATCAGCTAAATGGTTAATTCATCTCGTATCAACAGCACTATGATTCATAATGTAAACTTGAGGAATCCTTGATGTTTCAGTCACACATTCCTCTTAATTTGGCCATGCATTCTTTTAAAGCTACAGTGTGCTAACTTAATAAAATGCAGCATGCAAATGCACAAGTTTTTGCCTTCAGGCATTTTAGCCATGGATGTTTCAATGGGTGTCTCCTTTCAAGTATATATTCTTTCTTAAATTATTTACCCTGTAAACATGCTTTGCATTTTCAAAGAAGAATCTGGGCTTCCTCCTTCACCATACTTAGTTGAATTTAAGGTGTAATAGAGATAAAAGATTATCATCTGCTTATTGTGAGCATGTTAGCCTTTGGGATTTTTTGTAGCAAATGTTAGGCCCCATTTTCTTCTCCTTTGGTATTATCACTCCCTCCCCCACTTCAATTTCTTGATGCTTTGCCTAGAGCAATACCCACTGGCAGTGTCTGGCTGTGACAGTACTATAGGCTTCTCTACAGATGGGTCCTGCCAATGCCAACCATTGTTCTACCACTGTGAGCTGGCTTGACTGTCTTGGATCACTCAAAGTCCCCTTTCCTCTTGATTTTTTATTTGCTCTGAAGGGTCACCCTTGCCTGTTGACTTTGAGATCTGAAATGTGCTGACACCCAGAACTTGTGTTCTCTGTCTGAGCAGCAACTCCCAGACCAAGACTTCAACACTCATTGCTTGCTAAGCCCCCCTCAAGACCATCCTGCTGCCACCAAACAGCTCAGTCATTCTCCTCCTAGCCTCATCCTTCTGCAGTTTGCAGTTACTTTAATTTTGCTTGCTCACTTGAAAGTAAAACAGTAAAACTCAATGTTATTCTTTTTTTAAAGACATAAAATTAATCTTTAACTGTGGGCTTGAATATTAAAAGTATATAATGCTTCAGCGTAGGAGTCTGTTGATAACATCCATCCTATTTCATGATTAATTTGTTCCTTTTAATGTGATATTCTTTTGCTGCACTGTGCAGAATAATTCAGATTCCTGGAAATTGAACTTTGATATGTATTTCCTAGATTCACACCGTAAGTGAACCTTCAATTAGCAGATACAGGTGGCAGCATGCCTCGCTCAATGTGCTCCTCACAAGGATTTTTTAGGGACACTGCTTAAATAATCTTGCGGTCAGGATTGTGCTGCCAGAGTATTAAAAAACAAGGTATTTGGAGGATTCGATGCTTTTTTAATTTTTCTCTAGTTTTCAGTCTCAGACGATGAAATCCTTTTTCAGTGGGCCGGAGATAGGAGGAGCTGATTTAAACACTCAGTGTGTTATGTATGCCTTTGCCTAACTATGTGTTAGATTAAGCGAGTTTCACTCGCAGTTAATCCTTTGTAAATTAGCATTATGGATGCCTTGGGGCCCACATCCCACAAATAAAATGGTTGTCAAGCCAGCTGCACTGTGTATTACTTAAGGCTGAATGTTTTAAGAGTTTTCATGCTTTTAATCTATTTCACTGCTGAGTTTCAATTTTGCTGAGTGTCTTTTCAGGAGTGATGGGAGTGAGTGAGTAAATATATATTCTGGTTTTCATGCATTTGCCTGGGCAAATCGTTTGTTATCAGGTGTTTGGCAGAGAATGTCACACCCCGCCACAAAAGAGAAGCTTGTAAGTTCAGGTGTTAAACTGAAGTGCAAACCAACAAGAACCAAAAGCCCTTAATTAGCTTTATTTTGTTAGCCTGCTACACTTCTTTTTTTTTAGGGGAGAAAAAGGAGTGAGAAACATCCCTCCCTCCTCCTCATCCTTTTGGCAGAGTAAATATTGCCTGTTAAGTTTGAATTAGCTGTCATCGCAAAAGAATTAATGCTGTGGTTGAGCCTTTCTAGTGAGGAAGGGAAAAATAAACGAGACAGATCTTAGTTCAGCTTTAAGTGATAAATGAGGACAAAGCAGCCCATTCATCTCCTGCTAGGAAAGTGGACACAAACACTAAAGCAGTTTTGCGGAAGACGTGTCAGCAAATGTGATCATTTTGTAACCTGTCAGGAGGATAGAGAGCTAGTCCTTTTAGAGTGTCACAGGGGAGGGTGTCCATCTGATGTGACAGTTTTCATCCATCCATTTACTGCTTTTTCGTTAGGTGGGGGGTAAGTAAGGAGAGGGCTGGAGTTGGTTAAAACTGCATTTTTCTTTACTCTTTCCAATGTAATTTATATGTATATCCACCCGCATCCAAATGAAAAACATTTACGAAGAAAAACTCCCCTCTGCTCTCTAGAGTTTCTCCTCTCTTTCACTGCGTGAAATATGCTCATTTTAACACATTACATTCCCTGTCTTCAAGTTGGAGCCTTGTACTTACTTTGACATTTCACAAAACAGTTTTACCTCTTCTTACCATTGTCTGGGTGGTGAAGGCTTTGGTTTGGCTTGCAGAAGCACAAGAAAAAATGTAACTTAGGGTGCTTGTGTTACATTTGGTTGTTGGGGTTTTTCTGTTGTACGCCTCCAATTCCAATGATACGCTTCATGTAGAAATACATTTTGCTAAAGTTCCTCTTTCATGAAGCCTGTGACAATATTTTTCTCCTCCGTGAGAATGGAATAACAAACTCTGAATTCTTACAATCCAAATCCTCCCCTAAAATGCCTCAAATTCTACCGTTTGTTGAATTTTTTATTCATTTTAATTGACCTATTAATTTCAGGCAAAATCTGAAGTGATGTGCTGTGTGATTTTAGAAGCAGGGATTTCTCCCATCAAGCGCTCGAACTATATTAGTACTTTCTACTTCTGGCATCCTTTTATTATTACTAATTTCCTTTTTTTTTAATGCTACATAGAAAATGTAACATTTGCCTATTACCATAAGTAAAGGTGTGCTACAGAGACAGGCGATGCTTTTACAACATCAGCTTCACAGTTTGACACTTGCTTCTTTATATCATCCTTTTCTTCAAAACTATCTTTTATACTTTTCCCTTGGTATTTTAGTACAAGTAAGTATCTCATTGACATGTGTTTCCTTGAAATCTGGTACCTTAATAGTAAAATCCCTTGAAAATTAATAAACTGTTTCTGTTCAGATTAAAAAAGCTGTGAAGACTTCAGGATAGCTTTAAAAAATACGATTGTATTTACTGTGACAAACCACCCTCCTTGGACTGCATCGACTGAAGGCTAATTATTTCATATGTTCTTAAAAGGATAATAAATTGTAGCATTCTGTATTTCAGTTATCCTAATGTATATACAAGTAATTAAGAAAAGTCTAATTCTTTCCTGGATGCAAAAGTTGGATTTAATAGCTGCATAAAGAAATGTTTGGAAGCACTGGATTTTGAAAGAAGTGAAAAACAATTAATATACCCTAAATGGTATCAAAAATCCTAAATTTGTGGGACTATGTCTTTTCTCCAAGATATTTATCTGTGTGATTCTTTTTATGATTTATATATATATATGTGTGTGTGTGTGTATATATATATATATGTTCTGCTATTTTGATTTATTTTGGGGTTTTATTCACCTTTTTTTTCCTCTCTTCTACTGTTTTTCAGGATCATCCAAAACCGGATTTTGATCGTGGTTCTGGCAGTCATCATCATCTTCACCACCATGATGGCTATTTTTCTTTCTGTCAGGGGACGCTGATATCTTTGTTCTTCACTAAACAGCAACAAACTGCTTGTTCTGAGTAATTAAGACAAAGTGGTCACATGAATCATTCTCTTGCACTGACAGAGTCTCCCTCTCTTTTCCACTCTTCAGCTCAGGTGCAAGTGGTGTAAAATATTTTGTATTATGGATGGCATAGTTGGTGGCATGTGACGTTGATTATTTTTTCCTACAATTTTGTCTTTATCTGAGTGTTTTCAGAAGCTTAATATTTGTTGGGGTGAAGGCTTGTTCTGGTTTAAAAAGACTTACCGTGTGTTGAATTCTACCCCAGACAATTAGCCTGTAAGTTAAGTCAGAGAAGAGGGTCTTTGCACTTGTGCTACATGGGGTGTATGAATATCAAGCAGTATCTGACCTTCTGTGATATAGAATATAAGTAAAGCAGAGACCAAATGATGTAGAAAGTGAACCTGTCTCCTGTGACTAACTCCCGATCATGAATTACTGTAATAGATGTAACATGGTTAAGAAGAGTAGTTAGTTTTAACAAGAGAGCAACCTTAGGGTGATGTTTAATATCTGATGTGGATCCAGCACTCTATTTAACTTTTTTCTTTAATAGGCTTTCTTTTCTGCATTTTCAAAACAACTCCACTTTCATCAAGAACATAATAATGCATTACGTACCCAAAATGTAGTTGTGACCACAGCCCATCTATTCAGTCTCTTTTAAATCTTCCAGTATTGATATACATACTGATAAGCATACACACTAGACCCTTACTGAAGATTTATAAAGATACTTATCTGTTCATTGCTGATTGAAAAGAGATGCAAAGTAATAGTTCAGCAACAAATACATGATTATAGTGCATTAAATGAAAATCGGGATTTTTAATATTGGCCTGACTATGTTGCGACTGCACGTTGAAGATATTTTCAGTGTATTCAATTCTGATGTGATACTCCCCTTTTTAAACAGAAACTGTACAAATGTTAATTTATACATGCCTTTAGCTGATATAATATATCATAGTTTCATCTACCTGTGTGTAAATGAGCTGTTTCTCTTTTCCTATTGGCTGTGCTTCTCCTATAGACAGGCCTAGGTCATTTGGCTTACAATTAAGTTTATGACTCCAGAAAAGGTCTATTTCTGTTGATGTGGCAAAATGATTTCCATGATAATTTGTAAATTAGTTATATGCAATCCCTTACAAACGTTACAAATTGAGAGGGATTTTAAGCCCTTGAACTAAAGCTGTAAAATCTTTTCAGAAAGATGTTCAAAATAAAAAGAAGCTGGTGGCTTTCAAACTCCCCCCAAATTAGGTAGGAACTGAGCACCAAATTCTTATGTGTGCATTAGTACTTTTGGGGTTTTGGCATCCCTGCGGTCTCTGCCAACTTGCTCTGCTGACCCCGAGAGTTGATTTTAGGATAAACATCTGGAGGTTGATTTTGGCCGTAGATACGTCCCCTGTTTTCTTTACATGGAAACAAATAACTCAGCTTAAAGGATGTTGGTATTGATGCCACAGCTAAAGCCTTGAAAGATGGTGATGAACACAGAATAAATGCATCCACATGAAAAATTATACCCATTGAAACAAATGGAAATGTGTATGGTCAGCTGTGGTTTCTGCGCTATATGCAGCTCACAACAAAGTTCAGAAGTGGTTTCTGTGCCAGGTTTCTCTGCCAGCTCATGTCTGTGGCTGTGGGGTTGTGTGAGTACAAGAGTTCCTGGGTAATACAGCCCCATGTTTTCGGGAGGTTCTGCACCTGTGCAGTGCAGCTCAGTCATGTTCGGCTCCTCACCTCAAAGGCCATGCACTGACATGAGGCCATGGGTGCCTGCTTTGCCTCCTCCTAGGGAACCTCTCCTTTTATCTATTTGAGGTGTGTCATATTTATCACATGCCTTTTGGACATGGAAGGATTTGGGTGTTCAGCTTACACTGTGGAGGCTGCCTGGCCTTCAGTCACAACGTGCACTCACGTTAAGCACTTGGGGTTGTGTAAGCAGAGCTCTGGCCATTAGCTTCAAATGATGGCACTGGGCTGAGTTGAGGCAAATTAGGACAATGCCTGGCAGCATTCAAAGGTATTTATTTTCTGCTAAGCAAATTAGGAGATGCAGATTTTGTAAAGCAGAAAAGTGTCGAGAAAATGTTAAGCTCTGTCCGTTGCCTAGACATTCTCTGCGTTGCCTCAATAATTTAACTATCATGGGAATTGATTCATGACTACTGATCTTAACACTGACCTATGACTAGGTTTTGCCCTCTATCTAGCCACCTGCTGGAATCAGCAAAAAGCTGAAAGGAAGCTAGTTTTCCTTATCCCAGTATAAATCTGGGGCATAGTGTCACATCAGATACATCCACTCAGATGGGAATGAGGGAAAAAGAGAGACTGCCATGCAAAGCCTTCATC